CTGGGGTGGCAGTTGGGAATCAGCACTGGGGAGACACAGCATTGGGTTTTCCTTATTCATGTGTCAGTCTCCTTCCTTCTCAAGAAATAGCGCAATTATGGATGGTATTTCCTGCCCCAACCAGAAGGCCTTTGCATCTCCTTTGTCAGAGGTCCACACTGGCCTGGCCACAGTCCATGTTAACCAGGAACTTAATGTGCATGGATGAGGGAGAACACAGGTAATTTCCTACCTTCATCTCAAGTACTGACATTATGCAGTGGAGAGACCAGTCACAAAAACAGGTCCTGGACTAAAACCACCACCCTTGGGGGTTAAATATTTCTGATCACCATGGTTGTTAAGAGCAAAGGCTCTGGACTCAGGCTGACTTGGATTTAAATCCAGCCTCTGGATTCTTCTAGCCAAGTCACCTGGAACAAGTCAATCATCCTTTTGGGGGCTCAGTTTCCTTACTCATAAAATGGGACTAATCTTACCCCCATTACAGGATTATCACGAGGGTTAAAGAATGTAATGTGTATAAAGCCTACACAATGTCTTTATATATAGTAAGTGCTCAAAAATGGAAAACTATGATTAAGAAACTTTCAAAAATACCTTTACAATAATCAAGACAAAAAGGGAAAATATCCTTTGAAGACACTGTGCTTTAAAGAGAATGGATTGTCTATTTTTAGGAGCCAACAATGCTCACTAATCAATACCCAATGGAAAAATTTGAAGATAGCATTGGCATGTAAAATAATAGCTGTGGCTATTTCCAGGCCCCAGGATGGACACAGTGACAGGGCTGGGGACACCTAATCTCTGATTAATCCTGAAAGGTTCATCTTATTCTCTCTGCTGGAACTAGATGACTGAGTTGGAACCAAAGCAGCCAAGGTCAAGGTGCTAAAGGTAAGATGCCAGTTCTAGTCTATGAACCAGTGCTTCTGGGTTTGAGAGAAGGTCAGGGTATAACTCTGCTGGACAGGAGTGAGATGGGTAGAGCTCCATGTGTCATGCAAAGCTAGAAAGGCATAGCATTTCCTGTGCTGTTTTGGTCATCATATAACCCAAAGCCAACAGAGCTAAATTCCCCCAAATGTCTGCCCTGAGCATGAGACAACTGTTTTCTAACCTAAATTTGGTTTTACTTTTGAAGCTCCTGAGGTACACAATTTGAATGGGTCAAGCTCCTGGCTTCTTACGTTGATTAAATTATCTCCCATTCGATGGCTAACTTCGCTTGCCCTGTGTCTGCCAGCTCTTACAACTCTTCCATCTGTAATTTAGGAGGTTCCATGAAGAAAGCTCAGGGTTAGTGGTTGGGGAAGCACAAGCTAAGCCAACAGCCCTTGGGAACAAAGATTAACTTCTGGTGGAAGGAACAGGTCAATTTGTCTGGATACTGTGAGCAGCAAGGCAGGGACCCTATGAAAAAGAGAAGAGAGATTTCTAAACATTTTGAGAACTCCATCAGTAGGAGATCGGGATCCCACGAGGAAAAGGACTTTGTTCAGGGGAAGCCTCGACCTGATTTAGTCTGAGCCTGTGAGAGCTTGTGGCCCACTCTGGCCCTCTTGCCCGGGGCTCAGCTTAGTGGGCAGCACCCTCACAAAGGCAGCTCACAACTAGGCAGTGTTGTGTAGTGGAAAGAGCGCTGGACTAGGAGCCAGGAGACCTGAATTCTAGTGCAGGCTCTGCCACTAACTAGCTGTGTGACCTTGGGAAAGTCACCTGATTTCTCTGGGGCAACTGTAAATGGGGGGTTAGTCGGGCGATCTCTATGTTCCCCATGAGAGTGTGGTCCAGGATCCTACTCTATCCCTCCTTGGCCCTGTGCTTCCAGGGACGGAGCTGGGAGAAGGGAAGGTGGGAGAGAGGGTGCAGAGGGAGCCCCAGGTGCTGTGAGTCAGGACTCCACTTTCTCCTTCTTTTTGCTCTTTTTCAGGAAGGATGGGGTTCGGAATTTCTTTTTCTTCTTTGAGGGAGATTTGGAAGGTGAGCCCTCTGGGGACATGGGGCCGCTGGTGACCGACTCGGTTTTGTCCTTAGAGGTGTCAACATCCGTGTCGGCATGGGTGGTCATCTGGCTTAAGCCTTTGCTGAGAATCTCCTCTGCGGTCTGTTCATCCTCCCTCCCATTGACCACCACCCCTTCTGGCTGCGTTGTGTCGGGCTCTGTGGTGGCTTTGCTTGTTTCTGTCTTCTTAGCACCTTCTGGAAAAAGAGCAAAAGACACGACCCATAAGATGTCATTTGGGTGAGAGCTTCCACCTGGGATTACCAGAACCACTTCTAGGCAATTCTACAAAGTCAGTCCAGAGCAGAGGGAAAGCGGGCTGATGTAGGGCGGGGGCAGGCAGGGCTCTCATCCAAACCTGCCCCCCTTCCACACCGCCTCCCCTGGGAACAAGCCCTCGGCAGGTCAGTAACTCTGGGTTCTTGTCTACAAATGCAAACAGGTAATGGTATCCAAACATGGCAGGGGTCCAGCTAGGGCCCAGCTGGGAGCCTTTCTGGGCACAGAACGAGGGAACAGACACAGATGAGGACAGGCTGTAGGAGCCAGGAGGACAGTGTCATGTACAACTCAGTGGAGGTGTCTAAGAATGGTAACTGGTTCAGCTTCCCCAGTAAATGTATGGACATTATATGTTTTCATATCCATTTCATTTCCTATACAAGTGAGGAACATTTAGAAGAATGGAGAGTTACCTTCTCCATAGGCAGAGAGGGGAAGGCAGAAGGAAGATGGAATTCTAGAAGGACATGGACCCTGTGTTTCTAAGATATAAGGATTAACCAAAAGGGGAAGATACTTGGTTGGCCCATCCTAGCAGCCACTGCCCCACTCCACACCCCAGCTCTTAACCTGCCTGGAGAGAACCTGCTAGGAATGGCTCCATCTTCAAGGCCAGAATTGCTTGGATCCCAGAAACAAAGCCCTCCTGTGGCCCTTTTTCCCTCCCACCCTCACTCCACCCTGCTTCCACGGGAGCTTTGAAATGCCTGGATAGGGAGGGAGGAGGCCCAATTACAAAACCATAGACTTTGAAAAGTAGAAAGGGATATAAAGGTCATCTAGCTCACCTCCTCCCCATTTTACAGATATGAAAACTGAGTAAGCAGTAAAAGAGGAGGAGACATCGGTATCCTGACATCCAGTTCAGTATCCTTTTCACTACAGTTAACTGAAGAGTGTGAGGGTGTTAGTGTGAGAAACAGTGAGCCACAGAAGGAGCCCTGATATGCTCTCCTGTATGGGAATGTAATGGGGACGGGTAAGGCTGATGTCACAGAGAGAGTGGGTCATGATGGGCTTTAGGAAGAGGCTAGGGGTCTTGACAGGGGTAACGACCAAGGAAATGTATGGTTACATGGAAGATGGGGCAGGGAGGGGTGAGTTTGGGGAGAGTTAGAATGGACTGGTTTAACTATCTGACAAGGTCTTATAATGAGGTCTTTCATAACTTCTGAAATTGGCTAGGTAAGTCCAAATCCTCTCCCAGGTGACTTCTGAGGACTGCCTCTCTCTTAGCTCCAAAGACCTTGGCCATCAGCTCCCATTCCTACTGTCCAGCCCATGTTCTGTCATCTACCAAGTTCCCCAAAGGTCTTGACTCCTATAGCCCCTACTCTCCTCCTGGCATGTATTCCTACAGCTGTTACCTGGCAGCACTCTTGAATACAGCAAACCAGCAGACACAACCTTCTCCCTGTCCATTCTCCTCACTTCACCTGCTATTTGGATTTGTCAGTCTCTGGCCCCTTGACCCCTTCCTGTGACCTAACCTATTTCCCTCTGTCTGCAAGGCCCTTCTCTCTCTTGTGTCCCCAACCTTCACCCCATTTAATGAATCAGCTTGAGTGTTACCTCTTCCTTCAAGTCTTTCCTGACTCCTCCCTACTTCCGAGTAGAATTGATCACTCCCTCTTCCCTGCCCCCACTATATAAACTTCCAACAGAGATACTGTAAAACAACCACACTTCCTTGTTTATGCCTATCTCCCCCTCAAAACTGAAATAAATTAGGGCTCTGTCCAAGGATGGTGGCCAGGAAACAGGGGAGAAGAAGGAGGAATTCAGAGAGTGGGTAATTTGAAGCAAGACTAAACTTGGCAGCCAGGGTCCACATCCAGACCCCTGTGAATGGAGAGACAAAGGGCTGAACGGCTTGGAGAGGGTGGAGGAGGAAGGGAGATGCTTCTATAGGGAGGTCCTGAGCTTGTTTGGACATTTCATCTCTTAGACTTGATGTCTCACCATCTCTCAATGTCTCTTCCAGAATGTTCGTCCCCCTAGCTTCCCAGCCACTACCCCTGGATAACCCATTCTACTCCTGTCTGCCAGTCCTACTATATATTGCCCCAAGGTCTGTCTCAAGCCTCCCTTGACATTTCACGATGATCTTGCCCTCCTCCAAACCTACTGCCAATATATTCATTCTACACTTGCATGTGTCATTTCTCTTTTTTTAAGAGCCCACACGTGGGAGTGGTACCCTTCCACACTGACTCTGGGCTGGCCCTGTGGCTCGCAGTAACCAATAGGATGCAGAGACACTACCACTGAGCCACCTCAGGTCGAAGCCTTGAAAAAGCCTATCAGCTTCTGCTTTTATAAGTTGGGGAGCCCTGAGCCATCATATATAAAGTCTGTCTACCCCGGTGGAAACACACATGGAGAGGCTCTACAACCACATGGAGAGAAACAGAGACAGAGAGAGACAGAGACAGAGAGAGACAGAGACAGAGAGAGACAGAGATACCACCCTAGTGTTCCAGCTGAGCCCAGCCTTCCAGCTGCCCCTGCCATGGCACCTGACACGGGAATGCTCCATCTTGGAAGTTCCAGTTGACTGAAGTTCCCAGATGACTGCAGCCCCAGCTGACATCGGTAGAGCAGAAGAACCATCCTGCTGATCCCAGTCAACCCACAGAAAAACTAATTTCCATAAAATCAGTTCTTATTATGCACCAAGATTGAAAAATTATCTATTACTGCATAACAAACCACCCCAAAATTGAGCGGCTTAAAACAGCAAGTGGTATATCCTCTCTCACAATTCCAAGAACACAGTGCACAATGAGAACCCATTTATCTAAGCACGTTATTCGGCCCTCTTATATTCGTTAGCTCATTTAATCCTGATCATAATGCTGTGAGTTAGAAAGGGCAAGGATTCATGTTGTTTCTCCTTTCTGCGGTGTTTCTTAGTGACTTATTTGGGATAGCTAAATTAGTAAGTGGCGGAGCTGATCTTCTGATGTTAAATGCAGGGCTATTTCTTTGTAGGCATAGCCGGTGGTCCTGAGGGATCACTGGGCGATGGAGTCAGCAGGAGCAGGGACAGTCAGGAGCTAGTCAAAGAGAAGGCAATGACAGAGATGGCCAGATTTGAAGGAAGAGGACCTAAAAGACTCTCGTTCAGAGAGGCTGGTGGGGTAGGATGCAGGGAAGCAGATGAGGAGTGACATTGAGGTGACTCAGCACAAGAGGACCTGAGAGCATGGTGACACATGGAACAAAAGCCATCCCTGATCTGATGGGTGAGGTAAATATGAAACTGCACATGTTGCTCAGAGGGTCAGCCCTGTCTTCTCTGAGGAGTTGGGCAAGCCATTGGGCAGCTGGCCAGGGCTACCAGTACCATTTCACACCGGTCACCTGCTACAGCTTATGCCTCATCTTGTGGGGTCTGTTCCAAGGAGGCCCACACTCCCCAGCTCTGTCAGCATTACAAGAAGAGTCTTCAGGGAAGACCTTCACTTTCCTAACAACTCAATTTCACTGTGCTCTCCACAGGAGCACATAGTATATAGGAGAGAAGGAGGAATCCTGCTGCAGTAGGGACGATGTCAGGTGGTGAGTAAGCAGTTACCCCACCCATCACACAGCCCTCCTGCCTTCTGTTCCACCAAGCAGCAGAGGTAATTCCAAGGGGCTCCCAGAAGCTAAAATGAAATTGCCAGCCCTCCTCTCAGTCCTGACAAGAGCTTCTTCTCCAGTCTAGATTTCCTTTGTGCAGTAGGTATGCATGCCCCGAGGGATGTTGGAGCTGGCAGTCAAGCCAGGTGCTCTATGCACACCTATAAGGTAGTGGTCCCTAGGTCATTCAGGCTCTGGCCCACAGCCCTATAAGAGGTCATGGCTTCTTAGAGGTGCCCATGCATTCAGAACAGGGATGTAGATGTACTCCTGAGGCCATAAGTACTCTGCCACAGGGCATGCCCAGGAGCTGGCCATGCTGCGCATTCACTGTGGGGGCTTGTTTCTTCTGGGTGGCATGCTCTGTGAGTATCAGTGTGTGTTTTTGCATGAGTGCCCTATGTGTGTATATCCTTCGGGGAAGTCTTGTTTATGCATAAGACATATGAAATTGGTCATGAATCTTGTAGCCAGGAAACCTCCCGAAGGCAGGGTTGTGAGTTGCAAAAAAAAAATGGGGAGAAATAAATTTCTTTTGAAAAAGTCCTCCCTCCCCCATTGCAAGTGTGGAGTGAGTTAGTAAGCAGCCTCTCTATACTTACTACAGAGACAAGTATTCAGAATCGGAGGAAACTCCTTTGATGAAGGCACAAATGGGAAGAGAAAGGAAGACATTGTGGAGACAGGTTGACAACACCACGATGAGACACAACGAACACAAACAGTTGGGGGACATCCACTTGGGGCTCTGGCCTCAAGCAGATGGGTTTCCTCTGGCAACACTGGGCCTGCACACAAGGCAGTAATTTGCCTATAGAGGGCACTAAGGGGTTGGGGGCTTCTAGCAACTTCCACAAATGTGGCCATTCTACCCAGGAGGGAGAAGATTCCAACAGGCCACTAAGCTGCTGCTCCTTGCACAGTGGTCCAGCCCTCTGTGGTGGGGGCTCTAGGGGTCCAGGGAAGAGCATTCCAGCTCAGGAGTAGTTCTGGGAGCTCATTAAAGACACTTTGAGGATCTAGGTGGTATGGACTGTAATACTATTATTACCTATCACATATATTTTTAATCATAATCATAATAACATCTTACATATAAATCATACTTTTACTCTTTCAAAGTATTTTTCATCTACAACTTCCTTTATGCATATAAGAACCTTAAAAAGGGAAAATAGTAGCCCCATTTGACAGACAAGGAGACTGAGGCACAGAGATTATCCGATTTTCTAAAATTAGCAGCTGAATTATTATTAGTTAGCAGTTGAGTTGGGCCTAGAACTCAGTTCTCTAAACTAGTAGGTAGTGAAGTGGTTCTCAGCCTGGGCTATGCATTTAGGTTCACCTGGGAGATCTTAAAACTCCAGGCTTCACTCCTTCCCGCCCCCACCCCCAAACCATTTAGCTCAGAACCACTGGGGGTGGGACCCAGGCAGGCATCAACAATGTTAAAGCTCCCTCCCCACCCCATGATTCCCAAGTGCAGTCAAGGTTGAGAATGACCTCATCAGCCTCACCTGAGAGCTCCTTGGAAATGCAGAGTCTCAGGTCCCACCCCAGACTTGCTGTACCAGAATCTTCATTTTAACAAGACCCCTAGGTGATCCCTGGGCACATTAAGGTCTGAGCCCAGGGCTGGTGCATCTAGAAAGGCCCATCAGTCAATCCAGTCTGAGTTCGAGGTGAGAAGGCTGTAAGTCAGTCACGAATTTATTTATCATTGCTTAAACCGTGAGGTGCATGGTCACAGCGTGTGAATGGAACATGCTCAAGTTAGTAACCCCTATTTCAGATTCCCTGGAAATGGCAGAGGGGAAGCTTTTCGGTTGTGGGGGGCAACACCTGTTGAAAGGCAGGTACCTGTAGTGTCCACACCTGCCCCACCTTCCATACAGACCCCTCTCCCCGCCTGTGGATGCACCTCCTTCCCTCCTGGCTGCTCAGCTCGACTCACCGCCTGAAGACTTGGAGGGAGAGACCACAGGGCTCTTTGTCTCCAACTTCACTGGACTCTGTGCTGGAGAAGCAGGTGCTGACTTTACAGGTGAGCCGGGCTCCTCTGCAGTGGTTTCTTTCTCTCCTGAAAATACAGAAAACCACCTCAGGATAGGGGTCAAGCAGAGGAGAGATGGACAGAGAGAGAGCATTAAAAAAATTGCTTTCTTCTAGTTGGCCCTCACTCTCCTGGCTGGAGTTAGCTGCTCTCTTAACTTCTTGTTATTTCCACTACATCCTGGGGGAGGCCAACTGGAGGGGTCAGTCCTGTTCTGTTTCCTCCAAAGCACATCCGTCTATGGAATATGTTGCCCCTGGAGAAGACATCAAACCTGCAGGAGAGTTCCCACTACGATTGGATAGCATGTAGCTCATTTTTATTTATCTAATTTACATGTTCAGTGCAAACAATGCCTGGATATAAAAAGCGCCATATTCTTCTACCTACTTTTTCAGTTGGCACATTAGAACTCTGAGCAAGCCAGCGAGGTTATCCCAGTGCCTGCTAGGCGCCTAGGAAGATGTCTGACTCTGGGTGGGGAAGGGGATGGTGGAGGAAGACCCTGCCCTGAGGGAATGAAAGCCTAGCCTGGTAGACAAAACCAAGAGTTGAGTTCTGGGTCTCAGCCCCCAAGTGCTCCAGAAGCAAAGAAAAGGGACAGCTCAATGTAGGGGGTTGGGAGAGACAGAGCGGGCTTCTTAGAAGGAGGGGCATCTGAGATGGAGCCTGAAATGTAGATAATTTTGGATCAGGCTGGCCTGGAAAGGAAGCCATGCCAGGAAGGGACAGGGGCATGAACAAGGGCATACGAACTATCATGAGTATGAATATCCATCTGGGAGTCAACAGAGAGAGATGGGCTTAACGGAAGATTCTGAAGTAAAGGAGTGAGAAAAAGACAAAGAAGTCAGCTAGTGGAGAGTTTTGATTGCCTAAAAAGTTTATACCAGATTTGAAAGATAATAATTATCACTATTATGATTATCTATTGTAGCTAACATTTATCTGGTGGTTACTGACCTACACCGTATTCACAGGCACTATTCTAAGTATTCTACAAGGATGAACTCTTTCTACCCAGCTGACAGAGTCTGATGAGTTCCTCAAAACACCGTGTAACTGTTAGACACTGAACAGTGACGGTCGTTATTGTGATTAACAGTATTATGCTAATAAGGATATTATTTGGTGATTGGGCAGGCAGGTCAAATTGAGGCTATGATGGGAAGAAAGAGAGAGAGGCAAGTGAGGATTAAAAATGAAGTAGAGCCATGGCTGGTGTGGCTCAGTTGGTTGAGCACTGCCCTGTGCACCGAAAGGCCACTGGTTCAATTCCCAGGTCCCGGTTGGAGTGCCTACGGCAGGCAGCCTATTGATGCTCCTCTCTCACAATGATGTGTTTTTTTTCTTTCTCTTTCTCTCTCTCTCTCTCTCCCTCCATCCCTCTCTAAAATGAATAAAATCATATTTTTTAAAAAAATGAAAGCAGAGGCTAGATTGAGCCCCAGGGCCCTGTGAGGGAGGCGGTGCGGGGGTGGCCTGGGTTCCAGGGCTGCTGGCTGCTCTGCTCCCTCTCTGGGCTTCCCCAAGCTCTCCCCTCCACCCTAGAAGATCTTGAAGCACTGGGTTCTTTACCTTCCAGTTCTAGTTTCTTCCTCTCCACCTCTTTCTTGTATTCCTCCAGCTCCTGGTCAGTGAGTTGGCTGAAGGGGTTGGGCACCGTCTCCTCTGACTCATCTTTGGTGTCCGCATCGCCCTTGGCCATCAGCTGGCTGTCTGTAGACTGAAAGTTAACCACAGAGTGTGTGTTGCTCTCTGAACGCCGGGGTTGGGGCCCAGGCCCGAGCTTCCTTTCAGACTCATGTGGCTGCCAGTGGTCTTGCTAGGGACAGCGTGGCATGCAGCTCCTTGGAAACAGCACAGGGCCTCAGGGTAGGGCTTGTTCATGCCTCCCTATGGCTACCTCACCCCCAGACCCAGATTCTTTGCAATTGCCTAGATGAATGTAGGGGATCCACCCTCTGCCCCAGAAATAAAATCAAAGGATGCTCCCAAGCAGAAGGAAGACACACCTTTATTGCAATCGTTCCTGTGGACGCTTGCAAGCCATCCCTATGCAAATACAGTCAGCGGCCCAAAGTCAGTCAGCCAAAATCAAGCAAACAAAGCTTGGCTCAACCAGCTTCATGCCAGCTGTTCCCCACCATGCCCCACCCCACCCTGCAAAGCAGCACAAGCTACAGCACACAGCAGTAAAACACACAGTGGCTTCAGCATTCTTAGTCCAGAGCGTTAGTTCTGTTTTGCACACAATCATAAATTACAAGGGGGCCAAGGTCCTGAATCTTGGATCTTCAACCGCCTGTACTGCAGGTCCCCATGGAGACATGGGAAAAAGTCACTGTTTCACCACCTCTGTGGAGCCCCTTGCCTGGGTAAGCTTGTGTAAGCTTCAGGAACCCTTTGACCTCTCTAGCTCAAGACGGACTAAAGTTCAGGCTCCACAGTCCTGTTTCCTGATCCAGCATTCTCACCTTGGCCTTTGTGAATGCAGTGCTCTGAAGCTGAGGAGGAGCCAAAGAAAGTAAAGCCCAGGGGAGGGGAGCCCTGAGCAGCTGGCCCACAACACTCAGGTCCAGGCCATCTTTCCCATGGGCTCCTTCCAGAAGGGAGCAGCACTGGTTCTATCTTACGAAATCATGGAGTTCAAAAGAGAATCCAAGACCAGGATTCCAGAAGAGGGGCTCCAAGGAGAGCATCTGGTATAAATGGCAGAGTTTTAAAACAATTTTGCCCATTGCCTTAGACTCTCACCTCCCCCCAGTCTCATGTGGTATTTCTGTCCTCGACCCTGTGGCACACTGGTGCTCCTCATCCTGGCTGAGCTGAGGTGGGATAAAGGTGGGTGTGATGACATGACCGTCACACTTCTCCTGCCAATGGACACCCACCACGTGGGCTGCAGCCTGACTGGAAATCATTGCATGGCCTGTTTGCTCAGCAGAGGGGAATGGTTCCTGTATTTCCCCCTTTCTTCCTGCTAAGGAAGATGCCATGCCCACTGCTAGTTTGCAATGAGCAGCAATTATTTCCAACATGAACCAGAATCCTGACCTTCACCCCTTTTGCTAAGCACTAGACAAACACTGTTCTATCTCAAACAAGGAAATAATGACTTTATACTTTCTAACTCTATGTGAGTTGGTGTGGGCAACTACCTGCCCCCTCCTATCGGTAGGAGCTTCAGTCCTTATATACATGCCTTCCCTCTGAGAGCACATGAGCATCATCTCAAAGCTACAGTCTCACGATGCCATATCCACACAGAGGCCAGAAATGCTCAGGGCAAGCAGGTCTGGAGCAGCTGGGAGCTGCCAGCCACATTTCTGTGATCCCCACTTTGCAAGATGCTAATAGAGGGCAGAGTGGAGCTCCATGGGGAAAGCATGGAAGTAGGCATCACTCCCATGGGCAGGCTGGGCAGCTGCTGGCCCACCCGGTGCCCACAGGGGGCAATTAGACACTGTCCCTGGTCCTCACAGCATCCGTTTTGCAGCAAAAGCACCAGCACCCAAGATCACAGGGGAGGTGGGCATGAGGACTCAGGGGTCCTGCTGCCCAGCCCCAGGCACTGAAGACCCAGAAGGCAAGCTCGTTTCCCCTCCAGACAGGGGCTGCCTCTGCTGTACCGGGCTTCGGCTCTTCTCAGCGATGACGCTCGCCAGGAGCTGGGACTGGGGCCCCGCTGACTTCACATCTTGTCGGTTTTGTTCTCGAATCTGTGTGGAAGGGGAGGGAGAGAAAGCTCAGTGTGCAGTGTCAGGCTGTGGAGTTTGGGAGGAGCATTCCCAGGGCATGCTGGTGTCCAGTGTGGTCTCTGACTTGGGTCTAAAAAGGTCCTCCAGCAGTGTAGGAGCACCATATCCTCTATTTCTAACGCAGTCCATCCACTCTGACACAGTCTCCGTGTCTGTTTCAGAGTGAATGAGCAATTTATGTAAAACACCGGAGTCTCATTGACTCGGAGAAGGCAACTGTTAGAGGTGAAGAATAAAGGGAGGCATAGCTTATCCTTGAAGGAGATTCTCAAATTTTAATATTCCTATGAAGTCCCCAAGGGATTTGTTTAAAATGCAGATACCTGGGGCCAGCCCACACCTACTGAGTCTGAATCTCTTGGCAGGGGAGGTGACCCAGGAATCTACATTTTTAATAAGCACTGAAGAGGGGCCTCAGACCACACACTGAAACACAGTTCAGTGAGTGTATCTGGCCTACTGGAGGTGGTCGGGTACAACTTCAGATTTTAAAGTGACATTAGAAATGTAAGTGAACTGTAAAGCAAAGGCGGAGAAACACATATAAAGGATTTTGAAATCTCAGTCAAAAGGATAATAGCATAAATAGCTCAATTTGTGGGCAGGTCTCTTAGACACATCTAATGTCTATGGCAAGCACCTCTCTTGTAAGAGGGTCCTGCAGGACCACCCACATATAGCACTCAGCATGCTGCCTGGGACAGAGCCAAAAACTAGTTTCTTTCCCAGGAGAGGCATCAAAGGCGCATCCTGACCCTGTCCCCGCTCTTGAGGGAGAAGAGATGGTGAGACAACTAGCCGCCACCCTACCTTGTTCCGCATGTCCAGCACTTCTTGGGGGTCGGTATAGAGAGGCACAAATTGGTTTGGGTTTTCGATCCGTATTGGCATGCCACTGCTGGATTTCTCCACCTCGTCAGCCTTCATCCACTGCGCACACACAAGGCCAGGCGGGTGAGGCAAAAGAATTAGGCCCACGGGTCCTCCCCAGTGGTCCGCCCCACGCGACCTGGGCGCCCCGGCCTGCATGGAAGGCCAGCAGGCCTATACGTACACATTGTCTCCCCTCTGTGATGTCTGTCTCCCAGAGCAGGAAGGGCAACAAATGACCCCGCTGCCAAAGAAGGCCCCAGGTCAACATCATAAAGGACACTTAAGAGTAGGGTTCAGAACCTTGGTAACCAGCGTGGACAGACAGACAGCCACTGAGCATTAGATGCCTCCATGTTAATTTGCATGGCTTCACTTTTTTTTTCTTATGAAGAGCTCTTCTATTTGGCTGTGAGCTACTTTAATGTTGATGAAAAATCAAACTGAGTCAGGGTGTGCGTGTGGTGGGGAGGAGAACATAATAGAAATGAACGTCCCACCCATTTCCTGGGCTCCCAGCAGACGTGCAGTTCAAATGTTGGATACCTGTCCTTGAACTTCCCAGAATTCCCCTCTGGGTGTGGGAGCAAGAAGCAAAAATCAATTGCTCCCCACTTTCATGCTGTTGGGGGTGACCTGGTCCAGCCATCCTCCGGAGCCAAACACAGTGCAGAGGTGCAGGGCACAAGGTGGTTAGAGACTCCGTGGGCATGGACAGCTGCTCCCAGGTGCCTGAGAGGAAGCCCTAAGGGGGGTTCCTAACCCGCGCCCAGGGGAGACTTATTCTGTTGTCCGATTTGAAAGGTGCGTGACCCACAAACGTAACCAGGCACTCTCCCCCAGCCTGGTCTCCCCAGCAGGGGTCCCCCCCTGCCGCCTTACTGTGGTCTTGGGCCGGGGGCTGCCCATGCTCCTCTGGACCTCGTCAGCCACGTTGACCCGCAGGTAGGTGTTGGGCGTGTTGAGCCAGCGGGTCTTTTCTTTTTGCTGCTTCTGGGCGTGTTGCCGCAGGGCGGGCACCGGGGTGCCGTCCTCCTCAAACACGAAGGCTGTGACTGTGGCCGGAATTTCCACCTCACTTTTGTGTTTGGTTTTCTCTTGCACAAAGGGGTAGCGGTATGTGTAGCCTGTTCTGTAGCCCTAAAAAGGACAGAAAGAGAACCCCTTAGTGGGGGAAATGGTCTGTACGCACCTGCGTGCCCCCCAAGGCACTTCACCCCCTTCTGTCTAATCACTGGGTTTAAACCTAAGTCTCCACAGTACAACCTAGACCTTGCTGCTTCCCTGGTGTGTCTCGGAATTGTTCCTTCCCCGGTGTCCCAACCTCTCCCTTCCTCCACCCCAACGAGCCTTCTGATCAGGGCTGGGAAAATCCCTGGAACCTTGTGAACTTCCAGAGAGCTCCTTATCTAAACAGAGCCCTGACTATGCATCTGGTGCAGTGGTTCCCAACCCCGCTGCACATGGGAACCACGTGGGAGCTCTAAAAATGCTGATAGCTGAGCTCTCCTCAGACCTGCTCATTTCAATGGGTGATGGTACGGTCTGGGCTATAGGGGTTTTAAGTTTCCCAGCTGATTCTAACAGCCAGCCCTCCCTTCCTCAACTCTAAGACTTGGAACCCTGAAATCTGACTCAGGAACATTCCTGTCTCCTAAGCAAGACCATGTGAGAACGAACACTCAGGAATCTTGGCATCTGACGGAACAATTCTTACTTCTGTCCATCTTCTCTAATTCTGCTTTGCTCTTTTTTGAATAACTAGTAAAACTGGATGTTTTAAATTACATTTAATGGCCACTTGAATCTCTTCCTTTGTAAATGGTGCTCTTGGTTCATTTTTCTGCTGAGCTGTTTTTCTTTTTCACATTGATTTGTAATATCTCTTTACATTATGTTGACTGTCACAGATGTTGCAAATATTTACCTCCACAGTTTGTTTTTCAGCTTTGTTTATGGTGGGGGGAGTGGTTTAGAAAAATGCTAATTTTGAATTTTAATGTAATCATATCTGTCAGTATTTGTCATCATGATTTCAGACTTTCCTGCCATGCTTGACAAAGTCTGCCCCAGCACAAGAACATCAAAAATATTAATCTAGCCTAGCTGGTGTCACGTCATCAGCTAAATTGCTAGCCCCTAGAAGAAGGAAGAATGTCTTAAAATTCTTTTGTGTCTTTTAAATCCCACTCCTAGGCACATCCAGTTAACTTCTGTAATGACTGATTCATTCAATCATTACAATAGGATACTGTTATAATGCTGCTCACCAGGAATAAGGAAATTTGTGGTATTATGTGTTTTCTGCGTTAAAGTCATAAGAACTAACTACGTAATAAGAGAGGCTCTGTGGCTCTGACTTTTGTCGGATTACTACTTCTTTTACCAACCAATATCTTCTTACCCCTTCTCCAAAGAGCACTCTGCAGGTACGATGACTTCCACAGCCCTGAGACGGGGGTAGTGAAGGCCATCTCAACTACTATTACAATGACCACAAATTCTAAGTCAAGTTGCCAAGCAATGAGGCTTCAACATTGTAACCGCGATGTTGGCAATTCTGATGCCCACCTAATGCTTCCTACTGACTGGCCCTGGGGCTAAGCCTCAACAGACTGGACAATGCAGGAGACTCACCAGGTTGTCCAGCATCCTCATGAGGGCCTCAAACTCGTGCTCCCCCAGCCGGCTCTTCTGCATGGGCCCGAAGGTGCTGCCTGCCCACTGCACGGAGCCCACCTCATGGGGTCGGTGTTTCTCCTGCTCCAGGAGGATGAGGTTCTCCACTCCCCCGGCGCTGGACAGAGCGGACACCTGAGGCACAGAGCACAGCCCTCAACTCGTGTGTGCGCAGGTGCGTGTGTACACACACACACGCGCGCGCGCGCATGCATTTACCTAAGCTCATGAGTGGGGATAAGGGAAGATTAGAAACAGAAATGGGCTGGAAAACCGAGCTGTATTTGGCTTTTTCCTCCCAGAGGAAAAGCCACCCCAAATTTGTTGGGCATGAACCCATTCCAGGGAAAGAGCTACCAGCAGCTTCTTTCTCAATGTTACTTCTTAGAGACTATAAAGGACATAGCAAGTGTTAAACCTAAGACTAAAACAATATAGAGAACTGAAAGTGACCTGGGTTACAGACCAACTTCAAATTGTGATCATTCTGGGGGCGGTGGGAGCATGGGATTAAAAAAGGCTCTAAAGGGGACTTAAAGTCTTGTCTGTAATATTTTATTTCCTTAAGAGGAAAAGATCTGAAGCAAAAAGGCTGTTAATGTTTGTTAAATCTGAGTGGTGGGTAGCAGGTATATGCTATTATATTATTCTCTGCATTTTTCTGTGTGTTTGAAATATCTCCCACTTTTAAAAAAGTCACTTGAGAGAAACAGACTGGCTTCTAGGCCATGAAATATGAGTGCAGCCTGATGGCTGAATTAACAGGTCGCAGGAAGAAGGCGTCTTCCATGATGGGATCAGCCAGTCAAGGAAACCCGGAGGAGATGGGGGGAGTGCTGACCGTGCACAGCCGGGCACTGAGTAAGGGGAGGCAGCTTTCACCAACGGACTTAGAGTGTTTGTCCCACTGTCCAGGGGCACCCCTCGACACAGGTGGTCGCAGGCAAAGAACTTTTGAGTATCAGGGCAAGAGGTGTGTGTATACAGCAGGCAATTTAAAAATGATTCTAAAAAACATTCATAGATCTAACGAAGTCCCTTATTTTCTAACTCCATGCCCATATAATAGTACATTCTATTTACTCCTCATATCTGCCATTCAGATATAATTGGTTGTGATTTGGCTTCCTGGGCAAGTTCAGCTACAGAAAGTAGCTGAGCCAGGGTTTTTATGCTTGTATCAATATACTAGCATTCTAATTAATATTTGATATTCCCTGTAAGCCTGCTCCTACTGTATAAGCCTTCAGAGTTTCAGTTTTTGTGACAGTTGTTTTTGTTTGTTTGTTTTGTTGAAAATGAAAGGATATACTTCAGCTTGCTGATGAACACAGATCTATGATCCCATGAGGATCCAGGACACACCCTAGACTGTGTTAAATTCACCAGTGTAACAAGTGGCCCCTATGAGACTTCCTGGAGGCCAGAGGTTCCCAAGGAGACCTCATCACCCTGTGAAGAGAAGGAAGCTAGAGCTCTAATTTCCCACACCCTTTTTACGCAAGACATGTGTCCAATGGAAGGCTCTGTTTTTAACCCTGGTAAAGATAGAGACCCTAGAGGTCATTTATTCCATTCTCCCACCACCAGTTAGAGTCCTTGTCTGATTTCCCTAGGAGGTAATCAGCTGCATGCTTGGGGAGACACCTATTGTACTCTGCCCAAGTTTTAGAGGGTCACAGTGAGTTGACACAGGTTACAGCGGGTTGAAATCTGCTGGTCCCAGTTCTGCACTCTGCTGCCACGTGTGCTCATTCTGAAGTCCCTCTCGCCCAGCACTGAGGCTCGGGCACCCTCAGAGGTAGTGAATTCCACCTGGCTGGTCAGTTTACCTAGTTCCTCTTGGACCCCATCTTGCCTAGGCAGGACTTCAGCCTGGGACCCGAAACCCTGACTTGAGACGCCAGCGCTCTGAAAAGAGGTCCTGTCAGCTGACCCGTCTCACCAACTCTTACTGCCCTGAGAGGCAGCGCAATGCAGTACAGTGTTTAAGTGTACAGCCTCAGGCACCAGGCTGCCTGCGTTTGAATCCTGGCTCTGCCACTTACTTACTGTGTAACGCTGGGCAGTGATTTACCCTCTCTGTGCCTGTTTGCTCATCTGTAAAATGAAAATAGCACTGCCTACCTCATGATGATGATTGAAGGTAGTATTTGTAAGGCACTTAGAAAAGCACCTGGTGCATCTAGAATGCCATATAAGTGTTTATCACAAATAAATTATGAGGCTTTACCATGGAGGATTGAGAAACAATATCCCCTGGGTACTTGTGGTTCATGGAGGAAAAGGCAGCCGCCCACATCCTTGCAAGTGCTGCCTCCTCCCACCTCCCTCGCCCTCCACTGGTTTCCATGGTGATGGGTAGCAGATGGAGAACTGCCTGGGCTTCTTCCCATCTGCCTGTAAGCAGAGCAGGGAGCTGCTCTCTCAGCTGGGGATGACCCAGTTTCCTGGAACCCTAAGTTGATGGGGAGCAAAGAGAACACTGTCCCAAGAGGACAAAATAGGCTCTTAGCCTTGAACCACTAAAATGACCACAATCATGTTTGCTTATTTGTCAAAGTCACTGAAGGAGAAAACTAAACCCACAATGGAAAGAGAATTTCAGTGCTGGCCCTTCAACCAGAAATGACCTGGCCAGATGCTGGGATCTCAACAGCACTTGCAAACTGCCAGTACCTGGGATCTTCCATGCCTTAAATCTCTGGTCTAATCTTGCCGGGCTTCCTTCCATACCTTCCAGCTTTATTTCTCCCTGTAGAAGCCTCCCTGCTCCCCTAGCTAAAAGGAGCCACTAGAGCTTTTCTGGGGGTTATCTGCCTTCATCACCTGATGCACTTTACCAAGGTCACATCAAACCAGTCTTAACTGAAAAGAAAGTGGCAGCTGGAAGAGCCAAGAGAAGCAACTGGTGGACTGTCAGCTTGGCCCTTTCATCTCCACGTTTGCTAGGTGGCCATCCTGTCTTTGGTTAAATTGCACGGTGCCCATTTCTGAGGGTCTGGAGCCTAGGACAGACACCCTTCACCATGGGGAAGTCCATGGCATTCCTCTCCATTCATTCTTAGGGCAGGGCTGTCTTTGCAAAGAGATAAGAACTATTCCTCATGAGAGCTTCTTTTTCAGAAGGAAGGTGGGGAACTCTTAAAGAGCTCGGATGTGGGGTAGGGAAAGTGGGCATATCTGCTAGGTTCCTGCATCAGTCAGGGGTCAGAGCTCAGGGCCAGCATCACTGGTTAGGGGGCAAGAAGGCCACCACATCAGCAGGGTACTGCTTTGGTCCTATTCTACCTTCTCCTGTTCTGACCATTGCTGGGTGTGTTTTTTGGGGGGTAGGGATAGGGGGATAGTCTCATACTACCTCCTCTAACACCTCTTTATCACTGTCTTAACAACTATCCTCTCAACATATTCCTTTAAAAATCACTGAGAAAGGAACCACTTGTGGAGCCTTCATTAGGGATGCTTCTGGAATAATCTTCTTCCAGTAACTCCCAAGAGAAAGGCAGGTCTTCTCCCTGGGGTGCTGCTGTACCCAGACCAGCCAGGTGAGGGCAGATGGGACACTAAAAGGGCCCTGAAGAGAGCTGACTCATCCTGGAGCAACAAGACTCCCCTTCTGTCAACTGAGTACCCAATATGCCATCAGCAACACCTCTCCTTTGTCTGAAAGGCTGTCTTCTAGGCCCCACATCTGCAGTTGAGGAAACAGAGGCTCATAGAGGACGAGTCCCTGACCCAAGGGCACACAGCCCGGAGTTGGATGAAGCCCAGTCAGCTGTGCAAGGCCCCCTACACACCTCTCACATCTTGCCACACTGAAAGGAGCGTGTGCTAGCTTATCCAACACCACCGATCCGATAAAGCTGTAGGATTTGTGTCTATTTTCCTAATGCTTCTTCACCAACTCCTTTAGGGGTCCCATGACCACTGACACTGCCCCCTGCTTCCACCCAATTTCTCACTGGTTAGGAGAGCTTCAAGATTGGCTGTCTTCCTGGCCTTGGGGGTTCCCTGGTGTTTAGCTCCTCATGTCAACACTCTGCCTTGACCTGCGCTCCACTTTTCTTTCTGGACTTGATCATATTCATGGTCTTTGCAAACTAGTGCCCTCAGGGGAAGAGAAGAGGAGGGGAGGGGAGGGAAAGGAAGGGGAGAGGAAGGAAGGGAAGGGAAGGGGAAGGGAGGGGAGGGGAGGGAGCCTGTATGTGTGGTGTCTATTGGGCATAGCCAGATGTAACAGGTATATCCCAGGTAATATGTGAGCATGGTAAGAACTTTTATCTGTCCTATTATGGTTCCTCCTCCTGTCCACATGATGAGCCCAGACAGTTCCCTATTCTGGGCACTGACCCCCAAGAGTGGGTGTTGGTTGTTAGACGATGGCATACATTCTTTTAAAGCTACAAAATTGCTTGTAAGTGTGAAACGTTAGATGAATAAGGTGGCCCTGAGGCAGAGACGGGCCAGGCTTTCAGATGGCTGGGCTCACAGACCTCCCTGAAGCACAGCTAATGGGGGCGGCCTTTGCTTACAGGCCACTGTCAGAGCCACTCCTCAGAGTCCCCAGAGGAACTTGCTCACCTGTATCTCACATGCAGCCTGCAGGTGGAAGATCTTATAAAACGCCTCCTCCACGGTGTCACCTAGAGCAACCACGCCATGGTTTCTTAGCACCAGGATCTGTAGAGGAGCAAACGGCCAATTAAAACTTTAAGCCTTCTAAACTTTAGTTAAGGAGGAGAGATTTACATTTCATTCAGGTCAATTTCCAGATCCAGTCCTGGGGCATTCCCCCTCATCTCCTAGTTTCTGATCCCTACTCAAACACCCCGGTGTATCCCATGTGTAAAATCATGTGTGATTTTAACCCTAAACAATCACCCCAAGAAATAGAAGATTTATTTTAGTACTGAGACTAAATAGTTTGGTGGATTTCTTTGGGCAATTCCTGAGTTTTTAGGCCTTGGAGAGCGCAGAAGTCTAAAAAACTAGTGTTTGTGTTAAAGTAAATGACATTGTTTGATGTCCAATATGAAGATCCAACCTCAAAAGCAACTCCTTGGCCCTGTAAGTTAGTCAACCTGGAAGTCAAAACCTGACTCTCTAAGAGGTTACTCTGCAGAAACAGGTGGGGAACCTGAGTCCCTGATGACAGGTCAAGTGACCTCACTGGACATTGGCTTTCTTCTCCATAAACTCAATGAGACCCTGGCAGCTCTAAGATCCTACAGTTCTATGAAAGAGGCCATGGTGACCTTCTAATCTAACTCACTGGTTTTACAGTAGAGGAACTAGAAGCCTAAAGAAATTGAAAGGTTCCCATCTATTTGGGGGCAGAATGGGAACTAGAACCCAGGTATTATCACTGTGGGTGTGATATTTCTGACTCAGCCAGGGACAGGCAGATAAAAGGAGGGAAAACTCAGAAGTAAATTTATCCCAAGAGCTTGATTCCCCGAGGTCCAGGTGAGAAAAATTCTTGGTTGGTTTTATCCTCGAGAACTCTCTGAAACCAGCCGATGCCCACCTGGGAGCTGGGACATAGATCCATGTATTGGACCTGTCCCTGCAGACCTGGGCTGAGGCCTGCTCGTCACATCCTCTCTTGCAATAAACAGTGGAGGTTTTTCCTCTCAAGTGCCAGAGAAATGGAAAGAGACGATGACTCTGGCCCACAAGATTTTGCAGAGAACAAATGCCCCATCTTTCAAACTCTTGTAGCAGTTCACAGAATTGAACATTTCATCCCTCCCTAGGCGCTGTTCATGGGGCTTTAGAGACTGTCAGGAGAGAGTGGCAGGGATTTCTCCATGTCAGAGACGGGAAGACAGGGACTCTCAGATGGAAATGACAGTGAGTGCCTTTTGAGGATGGGAGCAGGAGTCCATCAACCCAGGTTTGGCTCCTAAACTTCCTATACTTAGCTGACCACCCCCAAATATGTACTGTTATAAAATAGATCTTTAGACTTTGACCAAACAATAATGGGATTCTGTTTTTCTCTATCAAGTTAGGGGAAAAAAAGTGATAACACTCAAATATGGGGAGACCGCAGAGAAACTGCATTCTTATATACAGTGGCACCTTGGTTTTCAAATGTAATCCATTCCAGAAGACTGTTTGAGTTCTGAAACGTTTGAGTTCAAAAACCAAGGGATCCACAGCCGACAGCTAGGCCTCAGGACCTTGCCCTCAGTGGAAGCTGTGTGGCATGTTTGATTTCTGAGGTGTGTTCAAAAACCGAAGCACTTTCTTCTGGGTTTATTGAGTTCATAAACCGAAATGTTCATCAACTGAGATGTCCAAAAACCGAGGTACCACTGTACTAGATGTTGTGAGGTGGAGAGAACTTGGCCAATGCAAGATAAGGATTTTAAAATATGCATTCATAGAAACTGACCCTAAGGAAATCATCTCGAGCATATACATAGATGTAGCTGAAAGAATTTTCATCACAGCATTGTTTACATCAAGAGAAAATTTTGGGGGGAAAGCCCTTCCAATGTCCAATCATAGAGGATTGTTCAGGTAAATGGTGACACAATCATTCATACAATGAAAGATAATTTAATCATTTAAAAAAGTGATGTAGAAAATATTTAATACTATACAAAGGTGTTCACTGTAAATTGCTCAGGGAAAAAGGAGAATATATTCTATGATCCTAGTTTTGGAAATATATGTGAATATATTTGGGGTGTGTACCACAATCTCAGGGCAGTGCAATAGAGGGAATTCTATTTCATTTTTTAATGTACAATTTCTAAACATCGTCCAGTGAACATATGTCGCTTGTAACATGGACTTTTGGCAATCCCACCCCGAAACATCTTCCCAGAACAGCTGAGCCAAACCTTGCAGGTGGGTCCAAGGCACTTCTGCAGGTTGATCCGATCCGCTTCCTGCTCCATTTCACCATTGAAGTCATAATAGGCCATGTCCCCCACCAGCAGGGCGTTGTGGGAGACCGGCAGGAGGCCGCACTTCATGGCTGACACCTTCGTGAGATGGTCGAATGGTTAGTACCTGTAGCTCCCCCAGTGCCTTTCCTCAGAGGGGCACAGTCAAGCTCTACTCTGGGGATGGGGATGGGGACCCTTTGACTCTCCTCCAGCTGGCTGGGGTCATGCTTTCTGGCTGCTTCCTCTAACGTCCTTCCATCTCAGTTTTCACAGCAGCCACATCAATATATCACTTTCTAAATTGCTGCAAAGAATGCACTTTTACAGCTGCCAGCCCCCTGCTGTGCTCTTGTCCTAAGAGGCAGGGGCTGGTGGAGTTGGCACCAGGCTGGGGTAAAGCGGGGTCCAGGTCCCCTGGGGTTGGTTGGTGGAGACCCTCAGCCTTGAGGTCAGTGCAGAAATAGCCACGTTCCTCACTAACAGGGAGGCCCACGTGAAACTGCATTTTACTATCAACGAGGCAGTAAAGGTGCCAGGGAACAGAGTTAAAACACTAGTGTATCCCCATGCCCCATGCTCTGCCTTTTGTTAAAAGCAAGGAGAGGTTTGGAAGAGCCTCTTGGCCTTTTTCACTCATTTTGCCCCAGCAGTAAGCCCAGGCTCTGCACACTTGGCGCAAAGACATCATCCAGTCTTGGTCCAAATTCTGGAAGGTCTCAGTGCTCGTAATGAATGCACGTTGCTGAGAAAACCACAGGCCAGTGATGAGCCTGCTCTGCCCCTGTAGGTATGTGGCCTGGGGGTGGACACAATGGCGTAAAGGTGGAGACAATCAGAACTGGTTGTCTGCTGTCTTTCCAGGTGATGCTGCAGTGTCTTGGGCACACAGGGAGAAATTACCAGAGACCCTGAGGGAACAGCCTGCTCCTTGGGGAGGGGGGAGTCTTTATTCTACTCTCTCCCAGTTTTCCTTGCCCCCATCCCCAGATCTCAGCCAACCTGGGCTATGAAAAGTGAACAAGTCCAGGTTCCCAACATCCGATCTCCTATCAAGATCTCTCCTCACCAGAGCCCGGGCTGGGAAAAGGGGTGGGGCTGGGTGCAGGTGCCAGCCCTGGGTCCAACAGGCAGCCATGAGTAGAGAGACCGAAAAGGTGCAGTCACCTGGGTAGGTGCTGCCAGTCTGTGTATGTGGCGGGGTGAGGGATGCAGTGGGGTTGACATTATATACCTGTACCTTCTCTCCCCAAACCAAGACTCTGTAGTTAGAAAAATGGAGAGGATTCAGGTCCCCACATTGGGTGCCCCTTCTCCTCACTTCGGTGTGAGTTCCAGAAAATCTTTCCAGAACTGTTGAAATGAGGAGATTGCTACTAGCTTGGGGGCCTTGTCTTTCCTCAGGGGGCATCTCAGAGAAGCAGGTAACGTGGTTCGTTGCTGGCCTCCGGGAGTGAAACGCTGGCTGAAGAGCCCACACTCACCGCGGCCGTGGCCGGCGTGTGCAGGTGGATGACGCAGCGCACGTCGGGTCTGGCGGCGTAGATGGCCGAGTGCAGACAGAAGCCCGTGGTGTCCACTGGGAAGCAGCTGCTGCCCTTCTCCACCACCTCTCCCAGGATGTTCACCTTGATCTGGGCCAGGGAAGAGGAGAGACTTAAGGGCCAGGGGACAGCACTCACTCCCCTCCCAGCAGGTGGGCCAGCACAGCTACCCGCTGTATTCAGTCATCCACCACTCCTGAGCAATGGCTGTGCTCAGTGCTGGGGGAGAAAGAGAGCCAGCTCCTGCCCTCAGTGAGTGCCCAGGCCAGCAGGGAACACGGGGGCTAATGATTCAGCACGAAAAATGCTACAGCAGAGTTTGTCAAACTTTACTGTGCATCAGAATCACCTGGAGATCCTGTCAGAATGCAGATTCTGACTCAGCAGGCCAAGGATGGGGCCTGAGAGCCTGCCTTTGACAAGCTCCCAACTGACACTCAGGCTGCTGGTCCACAGACCACACTTTGAGCAGCAAGGTGCTGGACTAGAGTCATCTGTAGAATTCTCTAAAAGCAGATGGGAGGAAGCTTTAATCCTGGGAAAATGGGGGAAGCAGAGAAGCCTTCCCAAGAGAGTAATATCTCAGCTCTGCATTCTCTTCTGAAAATTTTTAAAAATTTTATTAAATTTATGGAGTGACACTGGTTAATAAAATTATATAGGTTTCAGGTGTACAATTTTATGGTACATCATCTGTATATTCCATTGTGTGTTCACCACCCCAAGTCAAGTCTCCTTCCAGCACCGTCAGCTTTTCTTTTTTTGGTTTACTTTATCTTTTGAATTAAAAAAAAATCATATACAAAGGTAAAGAGAATAGTATAATAAACACCTATTTATCAGTCACCCAAAGGCTAGGTCTTAAAGGACAAGTAGAAAGTAGTCACTGGCTTTATAATCTGCTTCTGACTCCAAGGGGCTAGCAGGCGTCATGACTAAAAATCCCAGGCTGGAGTGTGTGGGTGTGTGCGCGTGAGGGTGTGCATGCACACACGTACAATTGCTGATAGCTCTGGCTGGCTTGGCACACAGTTAGGCTGTGGTGTCCTCCGCTTACCATAAACAATCTCACAGAATATCATCAGAGAAGGTCACTTTTGACTGTGACACAGCAAGACAAAAGACCGATCCTTAATCATGTCTAAGCACAGACAAAACAAATACTGGGTAAGCATAAAAATGACCGGCACCTCCCTCCTGGCGAACAGGAGACCCTGGAGCTTCTTTACCAAGGGCAGCTTCAGCCTCCTCCATTCTCACCATGGGCCCCCGCCCCTCCCCTGCCTCATAGACTTGCCCTGCACCTGACAGTGTTCTCGACAAGGCAACACCTCCTTCTCTGAACACTCCCCAAATCACCCAACACAAACCCAAATCCTGAAATGAGTCCCCTCCTGACACCCTCTTGCTGAATACGTCCCCTGGTCCCCAGGGTGCAATCTCCCTGCAGCTGGTACTTAGCTTAACTCATCCAGAAAGGCCTCCCACTCCCAGTCTTTGCGGTACAACCCCAGGCTCAGAGGACCAGGCACATGTCTTCTCCCTCCTACTGTGCTTGCTGCCTGCACCTCTCATTTGGTCTCATGGTGGCATCATGCTCCGGGCACTCAGCTTGTTTTGGTGCCTCTGCATTTTCTTGTCCCACCAGACTGTATGCTTCACAGGGGACAGGACAGCAGTGAGTAATTTGGAGGTGATCTATCTCTATAGAAGAATAGGGGGTGCTGTTATTTCAATAGGAATGAGCAGTGAGATGCCAAACTGTACTCACCAGGCTGGATGCTGTGACTTCACTGCAAGAAACTCCCTTAGGGCTGATGAGAAAGTGGTCCTGCTCCTTGCTGACTCTCATCTAGAGGAAAGACATGGTTCTCGGTGGCAAGAAGGGAGGGGGTCATTTCCAAGGACATTCTGCTTGAATCCCCTCTTCCCTTGAATCCACTACACCCAAATCTTCCTCTCAAGAACCTTTATCTCCCACTCCTCACCTAAAACCATGAGAGATGAAGAGAACTTGGCCCTTATTTGGAACTAAAGAAATGGAGCTACAAGAAGAACCTCTTGAAAGTCAAGGGTAGCCCTAGAAATAGGACCCAGGAGTTCCCAGCTCCTCATGCAGAGAAATTATCCATTGGCCAGGTTACTTCAGGTGACCACAGTGCTTAGAAACCTTCAAGTGCTCAGCATTTTGTCCAAAGGCCACCAGCAGTGCCATGACCATGCCTACAGTCAGGAGCTCTACCTTTGGATTTTGTGGGGGCCACACACAATGCCCCACCCCAAGACACTCTCCTCACCGTGACATAGGTGTCGCTCAGCTGGGCCCAGCCATAGAGGTCCAGAAGTCGGTAGACACTGCTGATCTTGCACCGCATGAGCCGTTCCCCCTTGGCCAGGTTCAAGGAGTCGGCTGTGTGGAGGTCATTGATGGGTGTCATCATGGAGAAGCCTGTGAGGGGACAGAGTGGGGACGGGGCAGCTCTCAGGGTCAGGGGCTCCCATCTGCCCCCCCTCCTTGCCCTAGTACTCTCCAAATTCTCACTGGTATTACAACTGCATGAGAGACTTCAATGGGCAGGGAATTCAACATTCTTTCACCTTTACCCAGGTGAGAAAATCCAAAAGACCTCTGCTTATTTGGGTAAGAATGGCATTGCTTTTGGTAAAAGAATCATGACAAGGCTTAAGGACGCAAGAAGAAGGGTTCTCAGAAAGCCAAGCTTACCATAAATCCCAAAGATGGACATTAAATAAAAGCAAAGATACATTTCTGAGTGCATACATGGCTATATTTCATCAGTGAGTTTTCATGAAGAAGTCACTAATCATTAGACCTGCTATTATCACGCTGTTTTAACTATACCATGTGATATAACTTTTTCTCTGATTTGGAAACACAGCAACTAGAACATCAAAGTCAGCCAGGAAGTAAATTCCTCAACTTTTTCTGACAAGTCATAAGCTTCCAGGTGAGTGTGGCGGTGGCTGGCTTCCGGCCTCAGCAGGCCTCATCTGCTTCCCTCCGGATGGGATTCTTCGTTCTCTATGGTTCTCTTTGGGAATTCTGTGACTGCGAAAGGAATCTGGAAATGGACCTAGAGGGTTTGATAGTCTTGTCCTCAGGGCACACACAGGGTCTAGGACAGGGGTCCAGCCTACACCACTGACTATAATGACTGCTGCCTACAGGCCTCAAGAAGGCCGAAGAGGGCGCCTGAACCCCAGCACTCTGATTTGTCAGTGTCTGGGAACTAATACGAGAATCAATAGGAAAGTGTTCTGGCTTAAAATGATGTCTGGCAGGAGCCTCCCGATGCTGCCACTCCCAGCATCCCATTAAAAACTTTAATGGATGAAAGTGCTCTTTGGGAACTTCCGCCATCTCCATAAACCTCGCTCTTCCACAGTGTGATGTATGTCCTGGACCAGGTTTGCCACCAGTTGAAATTATGAGATGGTGTGTTAAGATGAGGGTGGACTGGGTGCTGTTGGCTCAACATAAAGCACGCAGAGCAAGCCTGGAGCACCCCTGTCGGGAAAATGCACCCAAAGGGCCTGTGCTTACCAGGGTGGTACACCTCCAGGGCATGTGACAGTAAACATAGCTGATAGGGACATAAGTGGTCCAAAGATCCGTCTCGACAGGGAAGAAGGGCAATAACGAAACTCCAAAGTCAACAATTTCTAATTCAAATGTATGCATCTTGGATCCCTTCCTTCTCTGTGTGCATCACCCTGACAAGAAATGACCTATTTGCTTCATCCCAGGAGCAAGAAGGGAGGCATAGCAGAAGCAGAAGGCCCAGACAAGGTCGGGGGGGGAGGGGGCTATTGTTGGGAGGGTCTTCAGATCCAGAGTTCTCTGAATCCTTCTCTTACAAATAACTGTGGAGTTCCAGTGATGCCCAGTAGGACAGAATAGGTCTTAAAACACCCCATCGCATCCTCCGCATCCCGTGTCAGAACCCCCCAACCCTGTGAAGATTATCCCACCCACAGGCTTGAGGGTGGGAGAAGGGAACAGAGGGCTCCCCAGGAGTCCCCATCCTCTGCTCTCAGGGTCTTAATAAAGAGAATGCTTATCCTGACAAGCCTCACAAAAGTTCGGATGGCTCAGCACCAGGTTTATGACTCAGATCCAACGGTGCCATTTATTCAAATTACTTAAGAAAACACAGCAAAAGACGAAAACCCACCAAACCCCCTGAAAGCTAAGACTAAAGGGCATGCTATTGAAAAAGAAAGAAAGAAAGAAAAGAAATTCTAAGGCAAACGGAGCTGGGCAAAGAACAATCTCTCCGGGCTTGAACTCATGACATTGTGACTTCACCTCTTTCCACTCCCTGACTCAGACCCCTGGGTGCGCACTAATCAAATTTCCAGCCGTCCCGCTGTCCTCCTGACTGGTGCTGGTGACGAGACAATGGGAATGTTGGGCAGCCCTGCTTCTCCTTCAAACAGCAGAGTGTAAGGTCAGAGACATGAAAACGAAGGGAGAGGATATGACAGATATGGGAGACAAATGCCAGAGATCAGCATATAGATAATCAATATTGATCTAATAGAAAAACTTCTAGACTGAAAAACAGCCTATGTCTATAAATTACAAAGATTTGCTGCATTCCAGGAAGGGGTGAGGGAGGAGTCCATAAAAAGAAGCCTACAATTATGTTTCCTGACAATATTTCTGAAATACAAGGATAAGGGGAGAAATCCACAAACACCTAGAAAAAAATTCTGGTTACCTACAAAGAACAAAAATTAGGTTGTTTCAGATTTCTCTGCTACAGCACTAGACGCCAGAAGACAATGTTACAGTAGGTTTGCAAAAAACAAACACTAAAATAAAGTGACATAAAACTGGTTAAAGTAAAAGAATCATCAAAAGTATGCCAGGCAAATATAAACAAAAATTAAACAGAAGTCATAATATTATTATCAAAGTAGAAGTCAGGGAAAGCAATATTCTTTTGTGGACAGAGGGCCATTTTGTAGGTCACTTTACGTGGATTAAAGGTTTAATCCAAAGTGAGGCTATAGTTACAAAGAACACTTATGCTTTCAAGAACATTTCACCAAGATATCCAAAGCAAAAGTTATCAGAAAAACAAATAGAAATGAACAAAATTCAAATACAATGGAAGACAACACAACTCTCATTTATAACAAAATCAAAAACAATAAATAAAGATACAGATTAAATACTATGCCCTAGACATAGAGTTTATACCCATATATCATTTTTAAATTATATTATTAGGCCACAAAGAAAATCTCGATAAATCCCCAACACTAAATAGGCCACATTTTCTGAACATAATGCAATAAAATTAGACATTATCAACAAATCTTTAAAAGAATGTAAATTCAACCATTTGAAAATGAGAAAATACACTCTCAGAGAGCTCTCAGAATAAAAATAAAATTAAAATAGCAATCTCCTACCTAGAAATTAGCAATAAAGGAAATACAATGTATTAAAATTTATGGGATAAGACCAAACTTATACTCAGAGAAAAAACTCATAGCCTTAAATATCTTTATTATTAAATTACATATGAAAAGAAATCATCCATTTTATTTGTCTCTAGAAAAAAATATAAACAACAAAGTAAACCAAAAAAAGTTATGGAAAAGAATTAATGAATATAAAACAAAAGGAATAAATCGGGAAGAAAATTCGTAGAACCAATATGAAACTCAAGAACTGGCTTATGTGAAACAATCTATGATTAAACCAACATCTGGACTGGCTGATAAAGAGAAGGTGGAAAAACGTAGCACCAGGAATGAGAATGGGAGGTCAACTCATTCACAGCGGGAAACTTAAATGATAAAAATAATATTCTAAATCACTCTCATAATTTTGAAAAGCTCCACAAAATGGACTTATACAAAACATATGACCAAAATTTACTCAAGAACTAGCAGAATAGATTTTTTAAAATCATAGATGAAACTGAGAAAAAAATGTTTATCGAAAATATTCCAGATCTGGATGGCTTTCCCAGTGAGTATAAATCTTCAAAAGACAGAGATTTCCTATCTTATTTAAACTCCATTAGGTCAAAGAAAATAAAGATTGCCCAAAAAGTGAGCTGCCAACCGATCTCATGTGTATGCAAAGGTCCCTGATGAAAGTCTAGCTAACTGAATCCAGAAGAGTCTTTCTAAAAGTGCATCAAGACCAGGAATGATTTATTTCAGGAATGAAAAGAGTTCAATATACAGAAATCTATTAATATAATTCATCTCATCAATAGTTCAAGGAAAGAAAAATCAATAAATGCCCCAAATGCATTTTATAAAATTCAACATCCATTGCTGAGAAAAACCCATATTGAACCAGAATAAAAAGATGTTTCCTGCACATGATAAAGAACAACCATCTCAAGCTCTTATGATAAAAGAATTTCCATTAAAGTCAGAAACACGACCAGGATGGTTACTCTCTAACCTACTGTTGAGCATTGTTCTGAGAGTTCTAACAGATGCAATGAAAAAACTGGACATAAACCAAAGAGCAGATGTCAGAATAAAGGATGCAAAATTACCATTATCTGCAAATTTATGTGATTTTTCTATATAAAAAAAACCCAAAATTGAATGAGAATACATTAAAATTTAAGAGTTTGATAAAGGGCTGGTTTAAACAGACATATCCAATGATTTCCCTGGATTACAGCAAAAATCAGAAAGAAAATTAAGTGGAGAAAGAGTCATTTAAAATAATAAAGTTACATAAAAATTTCAGGATAAAGTTATCAAAAAAGTAAGAGGGCATATATGAAAACAACTCCTAAACTTTTCCCATGGACATTAAAGAAAAATAAAGTAAACAGAAGACAGATATCATTTATGAAAAGACTTAAAATGTATTCATGCAAATATTTTTTAAGCACCTACTATATTCCAGGCACTTTTCTAAGTCCAGGACACTGTTCCAGGATACAGCAGAGAACAAAACATACAAATACCTTTTCTCCTGTGGAGCTTACATTCTAATATAAAATTGTAAATTTAAAAACTGTCCACCAATTTAATCTATCCATTTAATGTAATTCAATCAAAATCCTAAGAGAAATTTTTTGAGGTGAAGGGGAGACTTGACAAAATACTTCTAAAGACATTTTAAAGAATCAACTTGTACAAATAGTTGGAAAAAACTCACATAAGAATAATTAAGATGATAAACCACGGGAAGGTGTTCCTAAGCATGCAATCAAAAGTGAAAACAAAGAAAACTAACACTGGATTCACCTATGTGGAAATTAAAATGTTCAGCAATACAAAAACATCGTAAACAAAATTAGAAGGCAAGCAAGACACTGGGAGAAAACGGTAATATAGTCGACAGATAATAGAGAAATAGTCTTACTTTATAAAGATGTAAAAATCTCTAAGAAAAGAATACGTGAGTAGGAAAATTGGCAAAGGCCGTGACAGGCAATTTACTACAAAAAGAAAATCATGTCCAATACATATATGAAAATATATCCAACCTCAATAGTAACTGCACATTAAAACACAAATAAAGTAATTTCCTTGCCTGGCCAATCATGAGGATGAAACAAACGATGCTCCATACTATGGATCAGGATGGAGTATAAGGGCACTCTAGTGCACGGCTGCTGGGAATGTATATTGGTCCCATCTTTCTCCAGGGTAATCTGGCATTATGCATTAAAGTCTATAAAACATGCATATCCTTCAGTCTAGCAATTCTACTTCTAGTGATTTATCTTAAGAAAATAGTCATAGATGTAATCAGATTTATTCACAAGGTTGTTGATTGCATTGTTGCTCATAATAGCAAAAAGTTGGAAACAACCTAAAAGTACCAAAACCAAGAAATTGATTAGATTATGGCATATTTAGCCATGCCATAGAATAGCACACATCTACTTAAAATTATATTATAGAACCATAATTTACCATGTGAAAATTAGTCAAGACATGTTAAGGCTATTAAATGTGTATGGTTAATGTGATTCCATTTTTGTTTGCATAACCTATATATGTTAAGAGAAAAAGGCTGAAAGGATATTTATCAAAATACTGATAATAGTTTCTTGATTATAAGAACACAGGACAGCAATTTCCCTTCCTTGAATATTTTCCTAATTTCCACCATAATCCTGTATTCATCTTGTTGAGGCGAAGTATTTTTTGATGTTCGTTTCTTAAAGGTTATAGGCAGAGTTTCAGAGCCCAGGAAGATGAGTTCATGCGCAGCCCTGGCTGCTGTTGGTTCTGGTCCATAGAGTCAAGTTGGCCTTTCCCTTGGGGCCTGGCGACACTGGCTTCAATGGCCTCCTCCTACCCTCCCTACCCCATCTCCAAGGGAGTGGCTCCGGGGGATTGAGGAAGAGCAGCCTGAGTGAGGGGATGCTGCTAGCACAGAAAGATGTTTTCTTCGGTTCTGTACCCATAGCTAAAGTTATCAAGGAGCAGAATCCTCACTCTCCACTCTCCACTCCTGGGCCTTCAGGCAGAGGCCATGTAAGGAACCCTGAATTGCAGGGCTCATAGAGTTATCCTGTCCCCTCCCCCCAGCGGAACCAGAACCAGGTTCTCCCTTGAGTCACCACAACCCCCTCCCCTCTCCTATTTCTGGGCATCAGGGATAATTCTCCTGTGGGTCTTTAAGTCACAATGGCATCAGCAGAGCCAGGTACTTCTCTGGCCGCCGCTCAGCTCTCCCAGGTCTACTAATGCAACTGCAGCACTCACCCGGTAGCCTGGCAACCACGCTGCTTCTCGCTGCTCCTTTCTCTCTTCTCCACCCCACCTCCCCCACCCTCTGCTCCTGGCAACTCCCCTGCTCCCCACATACTCATGGAAGATGTTGGGAAGACTGCGTGGGAGGTGCTGGCCATGAAGTCCGCGATCTGTCGCAGGGCCCAGATGTTGGAGGAATTGTTCCCCTTCTTCATCTGCTCCTGGATGAGGCCTTCCAGCTCCTCCCTGAAAGACTAAAAGCAGGCCCAGAGGCGCTGGTCCCCCAGTTCATCTCAGGCAGGAGACGGGGGGCCCTTCTTCCAAGTGCCCACCCCGCCCCAGGTCAGCTAAGCCAGGGCCACTCTTGGGATCTCTGGGCCCTGGAGGACATTGTGGAATTCCACTGGGGTTTTAGGAGCCTCCCCAAACTGCTATTGGGGGAGATTATGGGAATGGATCCTGCTCTCTTTGCCCTGTGGGCAGTGCTCCGGATCCAGGTCCTTCCTGTGTCTGATAGTCAAGACCCCACCCCCATCGGACACTTTAAAAAGCAGAACTGTGCCATATTCTCTGTCCATTAGCCATGTCTATGGATTTTCTGGGCCTCAGTTTCCGAAGGATTTGATGACCTCAGGTCTCCTCCACTTCTGATGTCCCACTACTCTAAGCCTGGCCTTTCAGAACCATAGGGCTAAGAACAAAGCATGCCTGTCCACCAGGTGGCAGTAGTGGACACTCAGGAGGAAGCAGAAAGCAGCTTAAGTGTTGGTGAATCTATAGAAGGACACAGCCTGAGCTCCTCCCATCCCCCCCACCTGAGAATAGAGTCCCATCCTTTGAGGCCTGAAACCTGGGTTGCTACTAACTGTCACTTTTCCTCCCACACCTGCCGTCCCTCCTAGTCACACTCTAGGGTTTTTCTATCAAGCCAATGCTTTTAGCACCTCCTAAATTCCTTCAGGCTCCCCAACACAGTGTCACCTGTCACTGGGACCTCAGGCCCATCCCTCAGTGCTCCTCTGTGAGGCCCGAACATTCACTGTGTGCTCTCAGCTAGGGTCACACATGGCCCATGTAATGCCCTGGCTCCCCAAAGCACAGTGGGGGCTGAGGCAGAGCTCATCCTGGCAAGCACCTGGAGATGCCAGCTCTATCCCCAAACTTCCCAGCCCTTAGGATGGTGCACTGTTTCCTGAAGACCCCTAGCTCTACTGCCCTCAGACTCCCATTGCTCTTTCTCCCCCCCTGCCCAAGGGCTTGTGCCATCCTCCCACTTCAGTGGCCCATTAGGCCCAAATTCTGTCCTTGCCTCAAGGATGAGCTTTGTGTCCATGCCAGGCAGGCACCAACTGACCTGTCTGGAGCTTTAGTGGGATGATCCTGACTTGCTCTCCCTTCCCATGTCCCTGTCCCGTGATCCTCCTGAACTCTCCACTCCCGCCACCTCCTGGGGCTTCCAAGCTCTCTTCACGCCTACCCCATGCATGCCAGCCAGTGAGTTCTTGTCTCCAGGAAGGGGAGTCCCAAACCTTCAGCGTGGCACCCTCAGCTGGCCTTTGGTTTATACAAACTTGTTCATTGTTAACAGCTTTTGGTGAGGAGGAAAGACTGGAAACTGAGGCTCAGAAGGGGCCCTGGAAACCGAGGTGGGGCTCTTGTCTCTTAGACCCACCTCCTCCCACCAGGGAGCCAAACCACCAGCACCTAAACCAGGTTTTGCCATCTCCCAGTGACTAGAGAATGAAACAGCCTTGTCTAACTGCTGGGACCCTGAGCAAGGGGAAGACGGGTTATGTTTCAGGCTCACCCGCATGGATCCACCCGCGCAGCCCCCCCCCCCC